TGTTCTGGAACAGTGTTGTAAATACAACTTAACCACTGATTTCTAGTTGTGTCCTCTTTTGGAAGACCAAACAAAGTAGTTTCGCTTTCACAACGAAACACACAGCGGGCTAGAGTGAGCGGAGGCGGGCTGAATATCTCTTTGGATTTGAGACTTTAGTCTTTACAACTTTACAGATCTTCTTTATGCACCAAGAGCTTGTAACACTCCAAAGAGAAAGGAAAACTTGAAATCGCACCATATGACCCCTTTAAACAATTATGCCGTCTCAGAAGTCTGTCCGAAATCAGTTTCAGGAGGCACCTTCCTGCAAAAGCTGCCTGCAAGACATTGACAGGGCAGAGAGGCGACAAGTCAGCTGCCTAAGATGTCGAACACAGCCATAATTTGTTATTAAATAAAATAATACATTTTACCAGATGTATGCTTTAAGATCTATACAGTAGTCTTTCTTTTCCTTGAAAATGGGTTAAAAATTGATGAGTCATCTTGCACCCACGAGTATAACCAAATTTTTGTCCAATTAAAAGTTCTCTAAAATGAGAATGCCCTCCCTAGAAACAGCAAGTAGCAAATCATAATTCATGATTTGTGTGGTGTTTCTTTTTTCCATCAAACACATTTTCAAAAAGGTTTCCCTAACACTTCCTTCATTTGCCATTGGTGAGATGAACAGAGAGCTCCGCCCCAAACTCACGCCATTGGTTAAGCAATTATTGCCATGTCAGGCAGCTCATATAAACTGATGTTTCAACAGCACTTGAGTGTGGAAATCAGTCTACAGATTACTTATTGCTGACTCCGTATTTTAAACCTTTTAAACATAGAAATGCAAAAATGGCATGGACATTACTGGTACCCTGGATTTAAAATTTGGCAGTACAACCGTTGGACAGAAGTACCGTATCTAACACCTTCCACTACTTCAGTTTATAGGTCAGCCCATCCAGCACCATACAAAACTTACCAGCATAATGCCAGAGCGTCGCTTTGGATTTGCTAAGGTGTTCTGTGTGTTTATTTAGCTTGTTACTATGAGGTTCCCAAGGGAATCGAATCCCTTCAGTTTCAGTGAACATTCCAGTCGCTTCGAAAACCGTCCAAATTTCCTCTGTGAGCCACATAATTCATTCCATATATCATATCAGTAGCACAATCTGGGACATGACATTCAATACTTGTTATTATGGGGTTTGATATTTGAACAATAACAATAGTGTTAATTGCTTTAGCAATACTGCGCTGATATAGCTCGCACACTTGCACAAGAGGCTTTAGCACAGGAAGAATGGTTTTCATAATAACACACTCGTAGAAGTGAATGCCATCTGGGAATTATCTGGTTAGAAAGCAGTCAGTTCCTGTGAGAGCTCAGTCCAACGTAAGACATTTGTCACTGATTTGCCCGTCAAGAAAAGACACCAACAGAAATGCAGCTGAAAGCAGAGCGGTTTTGCCAGTCACCATAAATCAAGGTTGGCATTTTACAGGAAAAGTCCAATGTAAACGCATCTATTCATCAAATTTGGTAATGTTTATTGCTTCAGGCGAAGGTAGTCATCACTACATCAGAGGCCAGACTCAACGGCGGAGATGGGATTGGACCTCAGAAAGTGATCGGTTTCTGTCTCGGTGAGTGTTATGTACACTCTTGAGCACACTGACCCTAACATGAACCTCTCTTGGACAAAAGCCTTTAATAAATCTTTCAATGGACAGGCTGATGAGACTAGGAATGTACTAGAAACTTAAGAGGATGTAGGTTTGTGTGGCGTTTCCACAATTGTTGCAAGTGCTTCCCAACGCAGCTAAAGCTTGGTGATCTATTTGTCAATATTTCACTAGTGCACTAAGAAATACTTTGCTAGGATTTCTCTGTAGGTCTTTCTTTATTGACTTGTTTATTTTGAATGATTGGGGTTACGAAATCAGCCAATATAAAGTTTTGCAATCCAAAAATGTGATCGATTTTGGGGCATTTTGGGTAAAGAGTGACGTAAGGTAAATGAGCTCATGCTCAGTCATCTAAGCACAATGAAACTAATTTAGTATCCAAAAAGGTCATTTCTGTTCAGTATTTCAAGCACGGCTACTCCTTCAACAGCACACTTTTTCCCTGCCAACTTGTCAGTGGGACGCATGACGTCATTCTGAAGTGGAGATACGTTGAAGCCATGTCAAATAAACTGGCAATGACTCCGAGACCATCATCTGTAGAAAAAACATTTACATGGGGACAGAGTGCAGTATACACAGTCATTCTCTGCTGAGTGATTCCCATAAACAGTGGAATCTAGTTTTACGTCTTGTCTGAGGGAAACTGTTTTAGACATAATACATGGTCACCTCCTCGTCTGGAGGAGCAGCGCAGACGTATGATACAGGATCTTGTCTGTAATCAGGCTCTGGGTCACCGACGCTCAAACACACACCTACAGTACTGCATTACAGAACAGGAGTTTCCACTTAAACTCAACTGAAATTAAAGTTAATGTGGAAAAAAGATGGGTAAGTAATTGAGTAATTAATGTTTGTACCTTATATCACCAAATGTAATTGTGATGAACATGGACAAGCAAATTTTCTTATCAAATGTATAACAAATTTAAAAGAGAAGCAAAGAAACCAGTTTGAAGATAAAAACGTCTTAAATATGGGTTTGTTTCTTACAAACATGCAGCTTTTCACTTCACAAGATGTTAACTGATGGACTGGAGTGGATTATTATTGTGGTGTTTTTATCAGCTGTTTGGACTCTCATTCTGACGGCACCCATTCACTGCAGAGGATTCATTGGTGAGCAAGTGATTTCTCCAAATCTGTTCTGATGAGGAAACAAACTCCTCTACATCTTGAATGGCCAGACGTGAATAAAATTAAGGCAAATTTTCATTTTGGGGTGAACTATTCCTTCAACTTAATTAGCAAATGTGTGTAATAACTAGAGCCCGACCGATATGGGTCTTTTGGGGCCGATACCGATACCGATATTAGGGAGCAAAAAATTATCGGAAAAAATCGATATATATCGGCCGATATTCTTTTTGTATATTATAGTACAGTACTAGTCAAAAGTTTGGACACTTTCCCATTCGAGAGTTCAAACATTTGACTGGTACTATCTATAGAATGCAGTATATACATAAACAGAATATATATGCATAAACACATTTTTTGCAATGATCACTCATGGAAGCAGGGCATTTAAAGGTGACATATTATGCCCCTTTTTACAATATGTAATTTAAGTCTCTGGTGTCCACAGAATGTGTCTGAAGTTTCAGCTCAAAATACTCCAGATCATTTATTATATCATTTTGAAAATGCCTATTTTGAGTGGAAGCAGAAACACGCTGTTTTTCGGGCCTGTGTCTTTAAATGCAAATGAGCTGCTCATATCTGCTGAAAACATCTGTTTTGGTACTGATTATCATGTTTATCGCGCTGAAATCATGCGGTTTAAACCATATGAGTTTAAACTTCAGATATAAGGTTTTCTGAGCGCACACATCCGAAGCACATGGACAGAAAGCTGCTGTCACAGCATGTGAGTACCAAGTTAAAAACACACGAGTTACAAAAACAGTCGGTTATGTATGTCTGTGAAGGTAAACAGCTGAGAAATAAATCGCTTGTTTATTTTAGATCTGTGTGGCAGCAGCAATATACAGTA